AATTCGGGTCACAACCAGAGTCGCGGAACGAATTAAGTTCGTGACCCGAGGTACCACTGTAGGAGGCAGGAGTGTAAGATATGTTCACTGCCTTGAATTATGTATAAAAAATATGGGATAACAACAACAACACTTTCAACTTGGACCTTTTTACTACTTTTTCACCAGATAAAACACCCACAATCATAAAAAGAATTATAAATTTAAAACTTACTTAGCTTTTTGAATCCAAATGCAGTAATCTGTGATGTAAAGGTCATTAAGAATATATGCAGGATCATTCTCCCGAAAAATCTTGTGAATATCTAGCAGACACTTCAAAATGGCACTTTTACCTGAAAGTGAAAAGCAAACATTAATTCATATATTTAAAGTATCAATTTAACATTTTCTATAGAAAGCAGCAGCAATTGCTTGAATACTCTAAAGGCAGAGAGAATTGCTTAAAAGACTCCAGGGAAAATCATTACAGGTAGTGCCTGGGTTAAGAACTCCCGGTTTACAGGCGACCCATAGTTAAGAATGGAGCCTACTGTAGCAAAGTTCGAATTAAATGCACAATGGTTCAAGTTAACTACACAAGACTACTTATACAGTATTATACAGTAATACTGTTCTGGCTTAGATACAAATTTGATTTAAGGACAGACCTTGGGAACGGAACTCATTCTTAAACTGGGGACTACCTGTAATTGTAAATTAGGTCTGCCCCATTCTTCCCACCCCATCTTTCATATCATCTATATCATAGGATGCACAGGAAAGGCAAAATGAAAATGGCAGAAGCTACAGCTAAGATTCTGGGGCAGTGAACAATCACAAGCTCTGCAATGAACTGTAAGCACAACATAATTCTCTCGACGTGACTGCATTCCTGTCTGCTCGTGTAACAGTATGATACAAGAAGCTTTTTAAAGCTTTCAGCTGTTAATGTTTCACACATAATCACTTCTCCACTCATCTCTTAAAATTGAATTATATAATATTTCTGTGTGTCATAAAAACAGATATATTTATGTCATTCTTTCACTCGCTACATAATTCCACTCATTTGTATACAGTACAGCGGGCAGGGAACACTGATGCTAGGATCTGATAAAAAACCCTGCATTTCAGAGAATTTCTAATAATAATACTCTGGAACCCTCCAAATATGTTAGTCGAAAAGACCTAGATTCTCAGTCTTTGGAAGAGGATAGTGGGAGGTGTAGTCTAACACTTCCAGAGGATACCAGTTTGGGGAAAACTGCACATAATAGATTTCTTAAGATGGAAGAAGTGACTACTCTTAGATTAGCACATAGTAGGATCTAGGAATATCCTGCACCCCAAACCTGCTTAAGTACAGAAACAATGTCTCCATCATCACACGGAACCTATATCCTTCCAAACCATTGCAAATACCACCCAGCCCCAGTACTGTGCCTTATCCCCATGCTGTAAGCTATACTAACATAAATGCTACTTTGTATCAAGTATTTCCCATTCTAAAGTTAATGCCCCCCAGCCAGAGAAATCAAAAGTAAGCTTAGAATTGAAGAAGAGTAAAAGCTAGTTAACTGCGAGCTGTATCATAACATTGCAAAGTACTTCATTTTAGAAACAAAAATCAAAAGCACAGGTACTGGATACCTGGCTTGGTAATAGTACTTGCAAAAAAGACTTTGGAATAGTATGAAATTGCAGGACTTCCAGGGAAGAAATGATGGACTAAAGATGGCTCCACAAAAAGCAAATCCAATTACTGCAGCGGAATGAAGAGCCAGCGAGGAACCATTTCCTCAATAACTCTTCTCCAGACAAGGAGAGGACTTGAGATCACCCACAAGTACTCCAGATAGCTGCTCCTTGCAAGGAGACTGCAAGACAGTGGTCTCCAGTGGGTTTAGAGCTCTAGGAGATGAGGGAATAGCCATCTTGCTCAAACCATGGTCAGCACCTTTGAAAGGACACAAGTTTGCATACTTCCTTTGCTAATCAGTTTCAGAAATTGCTTGTTAACTGCTTTTCAGCTATTAGGAACCTTTGGATCTACAAGTTTCACAGCGCCAGGTGAGTTTCCTTCAATCCTTAGTGAAAGATGTTTTAACTAAAAGTTCACAAACTTAAAAAGACTTTTTTTGGAATAAACAGCAAAAGGGTAATTAAAACTTTGATTTTAGAAAGTTACAAATGGACTAAAGGTCCACATAAATTTGAAATAAGTTTTTGGAATTAATTATAAAGAATCCTTCCTGTTGGAAAATGCTTTTGCTTTGAATTCTTTAAAAAAACATAATAAGTTAAGACTTTAAAAACTGGACACTAGAGGGAACTAGAGAGAACTAAAGATTATGATTAAAGGAAAAGAACACTCAAACTCGACTTACAACTACAGAATGAAGCAAAATATTTTAACCTTAGACATACTGAAGAATATTTTTGAACAATGGACCCAGAAGTTAATTTTAAGAGTGTCTGCCTCTATAGATAGTTACTGAAGAATATTTTTGAACAATGGACCCAGAAGTTAATTTTAAGAGTGTCTGCCTCTATAGATAGTTACTGAAGAATATTTTTGAACAATGGACCCAGAAGTTAATTTTAAGAGTGTCTGCCTCTATAGATAGTCTATCTATAGACTGGGTTTAAAAGATGTTATGGAAGAGAAACAAGTTTTACATGGCAAGATCGAGACTGATTTGAAAGTGGATTTAAAAATGACAGGTTACAAGAATCACATGGAAAAAGATGTTACACTGGACATACAAAAGAAACTGGCTGATACCTTAATAATTAAAAGGGATATACAAATAACAAACCAAGAGAGTGACTGGGATAATTTTCCTATATTGGATTTACAAAAGTGGCTTGTTAAAGAACTTTGTGAGAAGGGACAAAGAAAAAATCAAATTTTGCAACATTATTTGATGGAACTAAAGATCAAGATTACTAGAAGTAAAAGGAAGGAATATAAATTTGGCTTATTTGTTCAAGGTTTAAATAGATATGTTATTTTTGGTAACCCTTAATGGACTTTTGCTGAGATCAGGACTGAAATGGATTTGTTTATAGATAAGAGAAAGGATATGGGAAGAAGAGATAATTTGTTGTATTTTAAGAGAAGGTGATAAGTTACTAAAATTGTTTATACTTGTTGTGATGAAGGGGGGAGTTACTTCTTTATATATTTCTTTTCTTTTCCTTTACCATATTGTTGTATTTTCTTTCTTTTCTACACCTCCTATTTTTTCTTTTTCTTTTATTTTTTCAGTTTGTATTAGTTTTTACTGTTGTAATCTTTAATAAAATTACAATAAAAAAAGGAATAATATGAAATTGCAAGCTGAGTATAAACCAACAATGTGATGTGCCTTCTGCAAAGAAGGCAAACGTCATTTTAGGCTACATGAACAGAAGTATAATTTCTAAATCATGGAAAATACTCCTTCTACCCTATTCTGCTTTGGTCAGACTCCAGCAGTTTTAGGGACCACACAAAAAGAATTCTGAGAAACAAGTTCAGAGAAGGCAATGAAGATGATCAGAAGACTAGTGACTAAGCCCTAGGAAAAGAGAATGAAGGAACTGGATACATTTAGCCTTGACAAGAGTAGAGTAAGAGGTAAGAAGGTTCTCTTCAAATACTTTCAAAGATTACTTTTTAAATACTTTTCAACACAGAAGATCATGACCTTTGCCTCCTGTGCAGAACACGAAATAACAGACTTAAGTTACAGTAAGGCAAGTTTCAGAGAAAGCTTTTTAACAGTAAGAGCAGTTCAACAGTGGAACCAGAAGGATGGTAGGCTCCCATTCACTGGAGGTGTTCAAACAGAGGCTAGACAGTCATCAAACTAGAACAATTTAATTTGCATTCCTGTGATGTAGAGAGTAAAGAGGATGACCTTGAGGGAGAGAGGGGAGAATTGTTACCAAAGAGACAAGAAGGAACACATAGATTGAGTTTGGGATATGTAGAAAGTGTGCACAAATGCCTTAAAACACAATTAGTTCTTTCTCATGTCTTTACGAAAGAACACATAGGATTCCTTTGATTCAGACAGGCACTAAGCACAATCCTTATAGCTATAGCCAGGTATGAACGCTCACATTAATTACATTATTTCTACATGACTAAAAACCGTGTTTAATTTACAGAGCTTGCAAAGTTACAAATTCATCTGACCTACTGATTAATCTATTTTTTATACCATCACTTCTAATTTATTAGACAAGAATTTACATAATATTTTATGAACTACCAATTCTTATCAAATTATTATCAATTGAGTTTGAAATGCTGGGTTTTAAAATTATATCTAATAAGAGATAAAGAAGAAATTGTTAAAATTTTGATGACCTTCTAATCAAAGGACAGTGAACCTTAACACCCAAATATTTCATACATAAGACAAAAGCCTGCAATGGAGACATGTGTATGTTTAGATAACAGGGTTTATTTGTAGAGGTTACTTAGCAACAGCAAAACTTTAATTGTGAAATGTAAATCTTGTACAAAGGGGGCTGACATAAATCAGGCACAAGCACTGCTAGCTGCTGTGAATGATGAACTTCCTTTCCTCTATATGTCTCTAGTAATTTAATTTCACATGATATTTGCCACTCAGTTTGAAGAATACTAGCTTAAAATTGAGCTAGAATTATTCCCACTGCATTATCTACGTCAAGTACGAATCCTAAACTCAAGCACAGAGAGAATACTGTTTGTTTTTTTGTTGTTGCCAATCAAATCTTTCACTGGAACTCAGAAACATGAATTCTCACAACCAAAAAAAAATAAAATAAAATAATGAAGAGGACAGATCTCAGGAACTGTAGGCTTCATTATGTTTGTTAACATATTCTCAAAGTCATTGTTATAAATAATGAATTAAAAAAATTGTGGCAAAATGTTTATACAATTAGAAACAAGGCTAATGGGAAAAGACTCATAGGGCTGGATCCATTTTGGCCTTTTAGGACTTTTATGTAAACTAACAAAATACAACAGAGACTCCCACTGGAGAAATGTGAGGGGAAATGTGGATGGTTTTTTCTTTTCCTGCAGTGCCCAGTGCTCCTTTCTAGCATCAGTGCTACTTTCTAAGCTGTTGCAGAAAATCCAGAGCAACCTGAATGAATCTGGGACAGCAGAATAGAAGACCATCCACAAAAATTGCATATTTTCCCTTCAGTGGAAGTGCCCTGTGGACAAACCTCCATCCACCTGTAGTCAGAATTCAACACAGTTTCTAAATTTTAAATTTTATTGTAGATTCTATCAATTAATCTGGTTGGGATGTGCGGAAGGGAGTAGATCAAGCAGAGTGTAATTCCTGTAGCTACTTACTGCCTCTGTGCTAAATGAACCAGCAGCAGAGCATATACAACTGAGTACTGGTGGTAGAGAATATATCCAGTTCTATTGGTTGCCCCCCGCAAGTCCTGTTGTGCTGTCTCATCGTGGCGGGATCTGTTCCTGGGAGGGGTGAGTGAAGAATACCAGGAGTGTATGCGAAGAATATACAGTCCCATGCAAAACAGGAAGATGCTGGAAGTGGTTAACACTTTTTCCTTCTCTTTTAGTTTTCTGGTTTCTATCATTTTTGAAAGGGTAAAGATGGTTCCATTTTATTTTTTTTGTGTGTATTTTAGTGTTTTGTTTATATTTTGTATTCTTTAATACATTTAAATAAATTTACTTTAAGAAATTGCTTATTTTTTTCTTTACTATATTCTCTATATTTTTTAAATGTGTATTTTTATCAGTATTTTCTTTTCGTTTTCTCCTTGAAATTTTAATATTTTTTTAAATTAAAAAAGAACATAAAATGAATCAAATACACATTGATATCTTAGACATCAGCAAACTGAGAGGAACTGGAATTGGATACTTCCACTTAGAAGAGCGAACTGTTTACTACCCTAGACGTGAAAAGCAAAGAAACTGCTTTTATAGTTAGAAAGAGTATAGCAAGAAGTGTACTTGGCTACAATGCAATCAATGACTGATTAATATCAATTAGACTTCGTGGACAATCCTTTAACATGACAATTATCCAAATTTATGCTCCAATCACTGATGCTGAAGAGGAGGAGATTGATGAGTTTTATGATCAAATTTAATTTGAAACTGATAGAAATCAATACCATATATAACATTGCATAACTTGCAGTGTTCAACTCAAGTGAGTGAAAATTCCAACTTTTATTGTTATACAGAAAGTCTTGAATTTGAACTCCAGTACACTGTTTAAGACAAGGGAAAGGTATACTTATAATTTTTTTAAAAAATAATAATAAATAAAATGTTCAAAAAAATTATTGCTAAAAAAGGGAAAAAAATAAAATGCTTCAAATCTCACAATTTTCTTTAAAAATCTATAGTTGTTTTGTTGTTAATTTGCTTTGTTCTTCTTTGAAAACATACTCCCTCTGAAGTATTATTTAAATGTCAGGAGCCTTTTTCTTCTGATCGCAAATAAAGATGAGCAGGTTTATATCTCATACTTACAGGCAAAACAGTACAAAATAACAACATAGCCATTGGCTTACTTGTATTTTATTTTAAATAATATTTGGTATTTCTGTTACTAGAATTATTCACATTCACTCATTTTGAAATCATAACGTAATCATGTACCAAGTGGAGAAGGCTGAAAATTCACTCCTGTTAACTATTTGCTGAAGAACAGCCTAAGTTATTTCAATTCGATCGCAAATAAAGATGAGCAGGTTTATATCTCATACTTACAGGCAAAACAGTACAAAATAACAACATAGCCATTGGCTTACTTGTATTTTATTTTAAATAATATTTGGTATTTCTGTTACTAGAATTATTCACATTCACTCATTTTGAAATCATAACGTAATCATGTACCAAGTGGAGAAGGCTGAAAATTCACTCCTGTTAACTATTTGCTGAAGAACAGCCTAAGTTATTTCAATTCCATTCACATGAACAATGATCCAACTGGGCCAATCACATTTCATCTTACAATGGTTTCCTAGGTAACCTGACACATCTATATGAAAGCATTTGGCAGTGTGGAAAGAAATTAAACCAGTTTCATGTTAACTTTAAAACTGTTAAACATTTTTAATGAGTAGAGAGACTAGAACACTCCAAGAGATACAGGCATATTTGGCTTTGCCTAATCTATTCAACATAAAGTTTTGTTCCATGGCTATTACAGAGACTCTAAAAAGGCTTTCAGTAGCACATTTTCAGAATTTGATCATGAAAAAGATACAATATCTTTTGATTTAGCATACATTTATGCAGCTTTCTATACAAATGGAAACATTACTCATCTGAAAGTCTTTTATTTCTTGTCTAGTCTATCAAAAGGACTTTACTGGTGAAAAAAAAATCACCTTTGATAAGTGGTCCATCAGAGGGAAGGATAGATACCTCTATTCTTCATTATTAGGTTCACATGCTGGCTATGAAAGAAAGAGCAACTTTCCTCTGCAATCAGTGCTGAATCACAACTAGCTAGCAGGGAAGGATGGAGCAAACAGTCCTTCCATCACCAGAATCCTCACTCTCTTACACGAAACTTCTTATTGACCCAGATAACTAGATGAATCTATATATTACTAAAACTCTCGTGTCTGTAACCTTCAACTGGGTGAAACAGTGCATTGGGGGAAGGGAGGGAGGGAGGGAGGAAGGGAAGGAAGATTTCTGACACTGAAGCAAATTCAATGGGGAAGCTGGCAGCAAGTTGCAAGTTGCTCACACCCCCATTGCTTTTTTGCCCTTACGCATTCTGTTTATCTGTTTAGGTAAGGAAATATCTCTGAAACGATGACCCAACAGGTCATGGGTTGTCTAGTAGTTAAATGTACAGGTAATCTGCATACAAAGTAATTAACATAAGCATCTGAACTCCCTACTACACTACAGGCAATAATTGTTTTTCTTTTCTTTTCACATCTCAACTAGCATGTGTTACAAATTTCACTGTGATTCTACTCTATCAGGTCCACATTTATCTCTAGAGGATTGTCAAAGAAATGGAGAGTTGCAACTGGTTTTGTACCTCAGCCTGTAGTATACATGAACATATCTGAAACAAATGTTCACAAAATTCCAAGTGTCAGATAAACCTGATAGTAGTAGTTTCTTCTGCAACACTTCTGGACCACTCATTTATCAACGTAATTTAATTTCCTAAAAACGCATCTGTTTCACTGATGTGTATAGTAATATCATCCAAAAATATGTTCTTTCAATCAAATGCCCTATCTTTGAAGTACCTAAAATATGGATGTAGCATTCAAGTCAAACTATAACAAAAACTTATTATCTTACCTAACTGTAATATCATTATAGTGTCATTCAAGGCTCGTATCACTAAACTGAAGTGTCTGTAAAGTGGGTAGCACAGAACTCTTCTTCCAAAGGATATAAGAACTTCCGAAATGTTAGTAAAACTCTGCATGGAAAATTTTAAAAAAATGGTTATAAGAGATTAATTTTTTTTTTTATTTCAGCATTAAGTTTAAACATAAAAAATTACCAGTAAAATTCCAATGTATAACAATCATGCTTTTTGACAGATTTCTACAGATTTAAAATGCATTGCCCTTAGAAACTTTATATAATTATCTTACCTCCAGCCAGCATAAAGTTGAACTCAACTTTCGTATATTCCATGGTGACTCAACCTTAAAGAGAGGGATAGAGAAACGTAATTTATAACATAATTCTATAAACTGGGCTAAAGAAAATGTAACATTACACTGATTCATGCCAATGCTGAGAATATAGCTATTACTGAAATAAACTGGATCCCCCTTCCATTTCCTCTTCTGCTAAACTCAGTTCAGCATACCTGTCAGACTAAGATTAAACCTCCTATTCATTTCTAATACTTTGCACGGCAAGCTACCTTGTGATAATACCCTGCAGTTCTGTGCTTTAGCAGAGAACAAAGTTTAAGAACTAAGCCTTCCAAATCACAGAGTAGCTCTCTATAGCCTTCATGACAGTGCTACTTAACTAAAATGCCATACTGTGAAGCAGATGAAGAGAAGAAAGAGTAACTCACATTATTTTCTCCTTCAGTGGCATAGACTTCATAGCAATATGCTAAAAGTATATCAACTAAGCTCAGATATACTTGTTGACTGGTTCTTTTATCAAGCAGGAATGTTCTGTTAGTGAATTTTCTTAACTGATCTTTCTCATCTTCTGTAAAGGAAACTAAAAACAGGATTGTTACTTTAATGCACAGTACACATAGCCACTCTAGATATATTTGTACACACCTTCAATTGATAAAGATGGTACTGATGAACATGTTCTCTACATTCTATAACTACTGTTAAGATCAAAATGAAACACTTAACTTCCTCAGCACCTGCCCAGTTACTCTTTCCCATTCAGAAATAATAATTATTTAATACATTTCTTCACTTTTCCTCCCAAAGGAACCCAAAGCAGCTTACAAAAAGAGGAAGGAAAGTCTTACATAACCATCTTAAAAAAATAAAGTTTTTA